CCTGGCCGCGATCAGAGCCCACGGCTGGGTGCTGCAGGGAGAAGCTGGAGGGACAAAGGGGGCCGGGAAGAGAAAGGGCCCCATGCAGGGGGCTGAAGGCCGCGGCAGCTTCCCTTACTTGTCTGCTTCTGCACGAACTCGTACAAGCAGATGAGCGTATCCAGGGCCTGGCCGCCGACGGTCAAATCCGAGGCGCGCAGCACCATGGCCCGGCCCAGGAGCTGCCCCAGGATGGGGATGGGGAAGTCCCCATAGCAGATGGGGCCATAGGTGCTGCTTCCACTGCGGTGCCAGTCCTGGGGAAAGGCAGAGCAGGGGTGAGCGGCGTCCAAGCCCTGCGGCTAAGGATGGGTTTTGGGGGACGCGGAGCGGAGCCCGGGGTGCAGGGATGGGGATGGGGATGGGGGGGGATGCTCTGAGTGCTCCCTGCCTCCAGGGTGGTGTTTTCGGACAGGCGGTAGGTGAGGGTCAAGATCCTGCCCATGGCCCTCTCCCGCACGTCCTCGTTGTCCCAGTAGGTGAAGTCCAGCAGCATCTGCAGGCAGGGAGCCAGCCTTGAGCCAAGCGATGGGCACCCTCCCTGCAGGGACAACGCGCTCCTGGCCCGTGAGGAACGGGCCCCGCTGCACCCCCTGAGCAGCCTCCGGACCTGCAGGACCATCTGCAGCTCCTCGCTGAGCCTCGAGGTCTGGACGCAGAGCACAACGCTCAGCAGCATCTTGTCCATGGAGCGCAGCGTCTGCAAGGACACGGAGTCGTGGAATCACGGAGCGGGGTGGCTGGGAAAGGGCCTGAAGCTCATCCAGCTCCAACCCCTGCCATGGGCAGGGACACCTCACACTAAACCAGGTCACCCAAGGCTCCGTCCAACCTGGTCTTGAACACTGCCAGGGATGGAGCATTCCCAACCTCCCTGGGCAACCCATTCCAGTGCCTCAGCACCCTCACAGCAAAGAATTTCCTCCTTTGATCCAATCTAAACTTCCCCTGTTTCAGTTTGAACCCGTTACCCCTTGTCCTGTCACTACAGTCCCTAATGAAGAGTCCCTCCCCAGCATCCCTATAGCCCCCTTCAGACCCTGGAAGCTGCTCTGAGAGGAATGGCAGTGATTTGGCTGCCTCCTCCCCTGCCCAGGGCATTGATCCGGCCCCTGCCCTCATGGAGAGAGCCAGGGGCGGGCAACCTGCTGCAGGCAGGGCTCTGCATGGGGCCAGGCCCACAGGGAGGGGACAGAGGGGTGAGGGCTGGAAAACAAAGCCCAGCCCTTTCCCGTGTGATGCAGCGCTTCCCAGTGTCATCCTGCCCGGGTACAGCCTTCACTGATGGAGGCCAGTGGCTGAATGAGTGGGTGCACCAAGAGAAGCATCCTGTGGTGGGAGGAAGGAGGATAAGCATAAAAAGGACATGGAACTGTTGGAACAAGCCCAGAGGAGGCCACGAGGATGAGCAGGGACTGGAGCACCTCCTGTATGAAGACAGGCTGAGGAAGTTGGGGCTGTTCAGCCTGGAGAAGAGAAGCTGCGTGGAGACCTCAGAGCAGCTTCCAGTATCTGAAGGGGGCTGTAGGGATGCTGGGGAGGGACTCTTCATTAGGGACTGCAGTGACAGGACAAGGGGTAATGGGTTCAAACTGAAACAGGGGAAGTTTGGATTGGATCTAAGGAGGAAATTCTTTGCTGTGAGGGTGCTGAGGCACTGGAATGGGTTGCCCAGGGAGGTTGGGAATGCTCCATCCCTGGCAGTGTTCAAGGCCAGGTTGGACAGAGCCTTGGGTGACCTGGTTTAGTGTGAGGTGTCCCTGCCCATGGCGGGGGGTTGGAACTGGGTGACCTTCAGGCCCTTTCCAACCCAACCCATTCCATGCCCCTATGAGGATCCCAGCACGGGGCAGCTGTGTCTCCCCTGGCCCTTACCGCGGCGTAGAGCAGAGGGCAGGAGTGCATGAGGTCGTGATCCGGGGGCAGGAGGAACACGCTCCTGAAGCAGGCTTCCAGGAGGCTTCTCTCTTGGCCCACCAGCACCGCCTCCAGCGAGCTGCCGGGACACGGGGGTCCGGATGGGTGCTGGCACTGGGGGTCAAAGCGGCGCCCGGGAGGGACGCGCGGGTACCTGAGCTCCGCGATGACCTCCATGGCGAGGTGCCGCACGGCCGTGAGCACCTGCTCCATGAGCTCCTGCTCCAGCAGCATCTGCAGGGCACGGGGGGTGAGGGGGGGGAGCCGGTGCCGCCGGCACCCACCCCATGGGTGCTGCCCCTCTCACCCTGATGTTCTCTATGAGGCGGTGGCTGCGGCAGAAGGCGGCCAGGCCCTCCTGCAGGCCGTGGAGCCGGGCGGCTCGGAGCACGCTGCAGATGCTGGTGAGGAAATCGATCTTGAGGCGCAAGCCCTGGCAACGAGGGGGGGCACGGAGACACGGATGGGAAGCGTGAGAGGGGACCCACGGATGGGAAGCGTGAGAGGGGACCCACGGATGGGAAATGCGAGAAGGGACCCACGGATGGGAAGCGTGAGAGGGGACCCACGGATTGGAAGCGTGAGAGGGGACCCACGGATGGGAAGCGTGAGAAGGGACCCACGGATGGGAAGCGTGAGAAGGGACCCACGGATGGGAAGCGTGAGAGGGGACCTACGGATGGGAAGCGTGAGAGGGGACCCACGGATGGGAAGTGTGAGAAGGGACCCACGGATGGGAAGCGTGAGAGGGGACCCACGGATGGGAAGTGTGAGAAGGGACCCACGGATGGGAAGCGTGAGAAGGGACCCACGGATGGGAAGCGTGAGAAGGGACCCACGGATGGGAAGCGTGAGAGGGGACCCACGGATGGGAAGCGTGAGAGGGGACCCACGGATGGGAAGCGTGAGAGGGGACCCACGGATGGGAAGCGTGAGAGGGGACCCACGGATGCAGCAGCCGGCAGCGGGGCCCCGTCAGGGGATGCTGTTACCTTTACGGGGCTGTTGTTGAAGGCTTCGATGTGTTTGATGCTCTTCCACTCGAGGTGGTACAAGGGTAAGGAGCAGGAAGGGGAGGGAGGAGGAGGAGGAAGAGGAGGAGGAGGAGAAGGAGGAGAGCAGGGCAGGATGCCGAGGGGCTCCGGTCCTTTTGGTGGATGAGAAAATGAACACGAGCCATCGGTGAGTGCTTGAGCCCAGAAAGCAACCGTATCCCGGGCTGCATCCACAGGAGCGTGACCAAGGAGGTGATCCTGCCCCTCTGCTCTGCTCTCGTGAGACCTCACCTGCAGCATTGGGTGCAGTTCTGGTGTCCTCAACATAAGAGGGACATGGAACTGTTGGAACAAGCCCAGAGGAGACAATGAGGATGAGCAGGGACTGGAGGCCCTCCCCTATGAAGACAGGCTGAGGAAGTTGGGGCTGTTCAGCCTGGAGCTGCGTGGAGACCTCAGAGCAGCTTCCAGTATCTGAAGGGGGCTATAGGGATGCTGGGGAGGGACTCTTCATTAGGGACTGCAGTGACAGGACAAGGGGTAACGGGTTCAAACTGAAACAGGGGAAGTTTAGAGTGGATCTAAGGAGGAAATTCTTTGCTGTGAGGGTGCTGAGGCACTGGAATGGGTTGCCCAGGGAGGTTGGGAATGCTCCATTCCTGGCAGTGTTCAAGACCAGGTTGGATGAGGCCTTGGGTGACCTGGTTTAGTGTGAGGTGTCCCTGCCCATGGCAGGGGGGTTGGAACTGGATGAGCTTCAGGTCCTTTCCAACCCAACCCATTCCATGACTCCATAGGGGAGCGCTGCTCCCTCCCCGGCTGCCCGGGCACATCCTTCCCTGCCTGCACCACCACTGCCCCCCAGCCCCATGGGGCCCCTCACTCACCTTCTCGCTCCGGCAGCACCGTGAGCACCCCATGGGCTCTGCTCTGGGCCCCTCCATCCTCCTGCCAGCCCAGCCCGGGGGTGCTGGGGGGGGTCCCTGCCATCCTCCGGGCAAGGGCAAAGCGGGGAGAGTGGCGAAGGCACCGCGGGTCCCTGCTCCTGCTCCGCCCCAGCTCTGTTGTGTCACAAAGGGCTGGAAAGGGCCCCCCCGTTCCGAGCGCTTCCCCTCGTTGAGCGGGAGCCGTTTCCATAAGGGAATTCCCGGCTTCCCAAGGGGAAAAGGATTCGGCTGCGTCCGGACCGGGTTCCTCGCCACCAGAGCGGGGAGGCAGCGCATGGGGCAGCAGCGCATCCCCTCCGTGCCCGGAGACCGGGCACAGCGCAGCGGCCTTTAGGAGGGACTTAGAGCCCTCCTTCCCCTGTAGTAGCAATTAACAGCGCAATTAGCCGCTATTAAATGCAATTAAACGCTATTAAACTTTAGCACCGGTCTCCATCGCAACCGAGCCCCCTGGCAAAGCCGCCCGAGCTCCATGGGATGCTTTCAGCACGGTTTTTGGCTCCATCCCATGGGGCTGCTCCCTGCATCCCATTATTCCCGATTTAACCAACTGTTCTCCCCCTGTTCCGCGATTCCTCCTCTGGAAGAGAGCTGAGGGAAGCAGCTCCCTTCCCCGCAAAGGAGCCCATAGCAAAGCCGGCCTGAAACCTGCCTTTGGGGCAGCAAGGAGCTCACGGCGCTCACCCGGCTGCTGACGAGGGGGCTGTGAATGAACTCTTCCCCCGGGTTTAACAGATTTAACCCCTTAAAGCGCCCCATCCTTCACCCTGGAGCACCCAAAGGAGCAGGTTTAGGGTCCCCCCCCCGCACCTCCCGCCCCAAACCCGGTTTCCAGGCGGTTGCTTTAAGACGTAGGGCTTGTAACCCGACCAGCTCCTTGGCACCGGTTGTGGACAAACATTCCCTTCCTTACGCAAGAGCCGAGCGTGCCACGGGAATGCTTTGGGACGCAGCCCTCGCCTTCCCCTTCCGTCCGGGCCCGGAGCCGGTACCGCACAGGATGCACGGGGCTGGATGCGCTGCAAGAGGGCAGGAGCACGGGGTCGGGGGTCCTAAACCCCGGAGGAGCGAGGGCCGCTCGGTGGGGATGCTCTGCCCCGTGATGAAGGAGGCCTCCATCCTCTTCCTCCGCGCCTGCCTCGCGCTGCTGGTCCTGCCCATCCGCATCCTGGCCGCGGTGGGCCTCTGGCAGCCGTTCTGCAGGAGGCTTTTCTTCCCCTTCTTCTTCACCCGGTTCAGCGCCGCTTACGAGAGGGAAGCGAAGGGGCTGAAGCAGGAGCTGTTCCGCAGCCTCCCCGCCTTCAGGAGCCCTTCCGGAGACCTGAAGCTGCTGGAGCTCGGCACCGGCCCCGGAGTCAACTTCCAGTTCTATCCCCCGGGATGCAGGGTCACCTGCAGCGACAGCAACCCCGGCTTCCAGCGGAGCCTCCTGCGGAGCATGGCCCGCAACCAGCACGTCCGCTACGAGCGGGTCCTCGTGGCCGCAGGGGAGGACCTGCGGCCGGTGCCCAGCGCCTCGCAGGACGCCGTGGTCTGCACCCTGGTGCTCTGCTCCGTGCCCGACGGGAGCCGCGTCCTGGGGGAAGCGCTGCGGGTGCTGCGGGAGGTGGGGACCGGGCTGGGAGGAGCGGGGGAACCGGGGGGCAGCCCGGGGGCAGTGCGCTGGGGGAAAGGAAGGGGGAAAGAAAGGGGGGGATCGGGGGAAACGGGGGGAAATAATCAAGGGAAAAGGGGGGAAATCAGGGAAAAAGGGGGGAAATAATCAAGGGAAAAGGGGGAAATCAGGGAGAAAAGGGAGAAATCAGGGAAAAGGGGAGGAAATAATCAAGGGAAAAGGGGGGAAATCAGGGAAAAAGGGGGGAAATAATCAAGGAAAACAGGGGAAATCAGGGAGAAAGGGGAGAAATCAGGGAAACGGGGAAATCAGGGCAAAAAGGGGAAAATCAAGGAAAAAAGGGAGGAAATCAGGGAAAAAGGGGGGAAATCAGCGAAAAAGGGGGAAAATTAGGGAAAAGGGTAAAATCAGGGGAAAAGGGGAGAAATCAGGGAAACGGGGAAATCAGGGCAAAAAGGGGAAAATCAAGGAAAAAAGGGAGGAAATCAGGGAAAAGGGGGAGAAATCAGGGAAAAAGGGAGGAAATCAGGGAAAAAGGGGAGAAATCAGGGAAAAGGGGGGAAATAATCAAGGAAAAAGGGGGGAAATCAAGGAAAAAGGGGAGGAAATCAGGAAAAAGGGGGGAAATCAGGGAAAAAGGGGGGAAATAATCAGGGAAAAAGGGGGGAAATCAGGGAAAAAAGGGTGAAAATCAGGGAAAAAGGGGGGAAATCAGGGAAAAAGGGTGGAAATCGGGGAAAAAGGGTGGAAATCGGGGAAAAAGGGTGGAAATCAGGGAAAAAAGGGTGAAAATCAGGGAAAAAGGGGGGAAATCAGGGAAAAAGGGTGGAAATCGCGGAAAAAGGGTGGAAATCAGGGGAAAAAGGGTGGAAATCAGGGGAAAAAGGGTGGAAATCAGGGGAAAAGGAGGGAACAGGAAAGAAGGGGAAATAATCAGGGAAAAAGGGGAGGAATCAGGGCAAAAGGAGGTTTTGGGGTGGTCGGCCTGTGCTTAGGACTAAAACCCTACAAAGCGAGGTCTGGCCATGAGAACCGCTGCTGACTTGGCCCGTAAGGACAGTGAGGGCAGGCTCTGATTTAGAGCTGCTCCCCACCCACACCGTGCACTGGGGTCGGGGCGCTCCCCCAGCAGGCCTGAAAGCCTGCACTGGAATAAGCTGCTTTAGCCTGCATTGAGTCTTATTTAGGGAATAGGTGGAGTCTTCATCTCCTGTCTTAGCGATTTAGTTTATTTATCATTTATTTTATTTTATCATGCATTTATTTAGTGTATTATTTATTAATAATTCATTTACAGACTGTGTACTATTTATTTAGTGTATTTTTTTATTATTAATTTATTTAGTGAAGAAGCGTACTATTTGTTTAGTGTATAATTTAATTTATTTTTATTTATTTCTTTATGTTATATATTTATTTCGTGTATTATGTCTATTATTCATTTATTTAGTGAATAAGTGTGCTATTTAGTGAATGCGTAATATTTATTTAGTGCATTAATTATTATTATTTAGTGAATAAGTGTGCTATTTAGTGAATGTGTAGTATTTATTTGGTGTATTAATTATTATTATTTAGTGAACGTGTGCTATTTAGTGAATAAGTGTAATATTTATTTAGTGCATTAATTATTATTATTTAGTGAATAAGTGCTATTTAGTGAATAAGTGTAGTATTTATTTGGTGTATTAATTATTATTATTTAGTGAATAAGTGTGCTATTTAGTGAATGTGTAGTATTTATTTGGTGTATTAATTATTATTATTTAGTGAATAAGTGTGCTATTTAGTGAATAAGTGTAGTATTTATTTGGTGTATTAATTATTATTATTTAGTGAATAAGTGTGCTATTTAGTAAATAAGTGTAGTATTTATTTGGTGTATTAATTATTATTATTTAGTGAATAAGTGCTATTTAGTGAATAAGTGTAGTATTTATTTGGTGTATTAATTATTATTATTTAGTGAATAAGTGTGCTATTTAGTGAATAAGTGTAGTATTTATTTGGTGTATTAATTATTATTATTTAGTGAATAAGTGTGCTATTTAGTGAATAAGTGTAGTATTTATTTGGTGTATTTATTATTATTATTTAGTGAATAAGTGTGCTATTTAGTGAATAAGTGTAGTATTTATTTGGTGTATTAATTATTATTATTTAGTGAATAAGTGTGCTATTTAGTGAATAAGTGTAGTATTTATTTGGTGTATTAATTATTATTATTTAGTGAATAAGTGTGCTATTTAGTGAACAAGTGTAGTATTTAGTGTATTAATTATTATTATTTAGTGAGTAAGTGTGCTATTTAGTGAACAAGTGTAGTATTTATTTAGTGTATTATTTATTTATTATTAATTTATTTAGTGAAGAAGCGTATTAGTGTATAATTTATTTAATTTTATTTCTTTTTCTTTCATTTATTTCCGTGATTTTCTTTATTTCATGATGTATTTATTCCCTGTATTATGTCTTTATTACTCATTTATTTAGTGAATAAGCCGCTTTAGAAGCGGGCTGAGCCACCCGCCTGCCCCCTGACAGCCCTTTATTCCCCTGCAGCCCAACCCAGGCGAAGGCTTTGAACAGGCTGGGGTTTGGGGTTCCTTTCAGCCTCTAAAGAGGCCTTTTCGAGGCAGTGCTCTGCGTTATCAACCCCTCGAGGGTCTGAGTGGGACTGCCGCGTTTCCCTTCATTTCCCTGTTGGGAACGCTCCATCCCTGGCGGTGTTCAAGGCCAGGCTGGATGAAGCCTTGGGTGACCTGGTTTAGTGGGAGGCGTCCCTGCCCATGGCAGGGGGTTGGAACTGGGGGAGCTCCAGGTCCTTTCCACCCCAACCCATTCTATGATTCCTTATGCAAACCTCAACTGGAACTGAACCAGAGGGAGCAGAAACCACTGCGTTTTGGATCCCTGCTCACACGAATCCCATTGAACACCTCCCAGGCACAAAGCAGGCAGGGAAGTTGGGGGGCAGGAGAGGGAACGGGACGCAGAAGGAGGTGACGCTTTCCCCTTGGGGTGACTTTGTGTTCCCTAGGGAGGCGCCTTCTACTTCCTCGAGCACGTGGCCGCCGACCCTTGCAGCTGGAAGCACTTCTGGCAGCGGGTCTGGCATCCCACCTGGAAACTCCTCTTTGACGGATGCTGCCTCACGAAGGAGACGTGGAAGGCTCTCGAGGAGGCCGACTTCTCGGAGCTGCACCTCCAGCACACCACCGTGGCGCTGCCCTGGACTCCCACGCACCCTCACATCATGGGCTACGCTGTGAAGTAGCTCGGCGCCCTGCCGGGCCTCCTCTGCGTCCCTACAACCAACACAGCACCACCTAATCCCAGCGGCCCACGTCGTGAGAGCCCTGCTTCCGACAGCTGAGGAGCTCGGGAGGTTTAAAGCTTCATTGCAATAAAGGGAGAGGCTCGCCGTGGTCAGAGCTCTTGCTTTGCCTCAAGTATCCGCCTGTTTCATACCTTCCCCATCCCAAATCCTTCCTCCTTTGGCTTGGATACCCCGAGGATCCCAGCAGGAGTTAAACTGGTGTTAACGGCACCCCGGGGCTGCTCCGCTCCGGGTAACTGATTCCTGCCATTGGGAAGCATCCAAGTGCCATTGGGATCAGCTGCTCCCCTTCTCCCCCTGCTCCCAAGCACTGATTGAGGCGCTGCTACCCCCCCCCCCCCCCCAGAAGGTACCGGGGCCGGCTCCCAGCATCAACCGCGTTCCATGATGCGCGGTGGGGACTGAGCGGCACCGTCGCCATAGCGACCGCTGTTGGTACCCGCACCTCCATGGGTGCCCCCCGGCAGAGGATGCGGTGGGAGCTGCGTGCGGCCGCGCTGGTGCTGCTGCTGGTGCCACCGGTGATGGTCGGTGCCGTGGCCGTGGTGACGGCGGCCCGGGATGCACCGGATGGTACCGTGCTTGAGGCACAACGGCGGGCGTAGGGAGCGGGGTGGAAGGGGCTGGGAGGGTGGGGGAGAGGGAGGGGGTGTGGTGGCTCCCCATGGACACACCGGGAAAAACCTCGTTTGTGCCCAAGTAGGTGAATTCATGGAGCGGGGGGGGCTGGAAGCTGCTCACCCTCAGTACGTGCACACACAGGAAATCACAGACATAGGAGGGCTGGGGTGGGAAGGGACCTTCAGAGCTCATCCAGTTCCAGGCCTGTGATGGGCAGGGGCATCTTCATCTAGACCAGGTTACCATGAGCAGGGGCATCTTCATCTAGACCAGGTTACCATGAGCAGGAGCATCTTCATCTAGACCAGGTTACCTTGAGCAGGAAGATCTTCATCTAGACCAGGTTACCTTGAGCAGGGACATCTTCATCTAGACCAGGTTACCTTGAGCAGGGACATCTTCATCTAGACCAGGTTACCTTGAGCAGGAAGATCTTCATCTAGACCAGGTTACCTTGAGCAGGGACATCTTCATCTAGACCAGGTTACCATGAGCAGGAGCATCTTCATCTAGACCAGGTTACCATGAGCAGGAGCATCTTCATCTAGACCAGGTTACCATGAGCAGGAGCATCTTCATCTAGACCAGGTTACCTTGAGCAGGAAGATCTTCATCTAGACCAGGTTACCTTGAGCAGGGACATCTTCATCTAGACCAGGTTACCTTGAGCATGGACATCTTCATCTAGACCAGGTTACCTTGAGCAGAGGCATCTTCATCTAGACCAGGCTACCACGAGCAGGGACATCTTCATCTAGACCAGGTTACCATGAGCAGGAACATCTTCATCTAGGGTTACCATGAGCAGGGACATCTTCATCTAGACCAGGTTACCATGAGCAGGGACATCGTCATCTAGACCAGGTTACCATGAGCAGGAGCATCTTCATCTAGACCAGGTTACCTTGAGCAGGAAGATCTTCATCTAGACCAGGTTACCTTGAGCAGGAAGATCTTCATCTAGACCAGGTTACCTTGAGCAGGAAGATCTTCATCTAGACCAGGTTACCTTGAGCAGGGACATCTTCATCTAGACCAGGTTACCATGAGCAGGAGCATCTTCATCTAGACCAGGTTACCATGAGCAGGGGCATCTTCATCTAGACCAGGTTGCCATGAGCAGGAAGATCTTCATCTAGACCAGGTTACCTTGAGCAGGAGCATCTTCATCTAGACCAGGTTACCATGAGCAGGGACATCTTCATCTAGACCAGGTTACCATGAGCAGGGACATCTTCATCTAGACCAGGTTACCTTGAGCAGGGACATCTTCATCTAGACCAGGTTACCTTGAGCAGGGACATCTTCATCTAGACCAGGTTACCATGAGCAGGAGCATCTTCATCTAGACCAGGTTACCATGAGCAGGGGCATCTTCATCTAGACCAGGTTGCCATGAGCAGGAAGATCTTCATCTAGACCAGGTTACCTTGAGCAGGGGCATCTTCATCTAGACCAGGTTACCTTGAGCAGGGACATCTTCATCTAGACCAGGTTGCCATGAGCAGGAGCATCTTCATCTAGACCAGGTTACCTTGAGCATGGACATCTTCATCTAGACCAGGTTACCTTGAGCAGGAACATCATCTTCATCTAGACCAGGCTGCCCATACACGAATAACCACTGAAATACAAGCGTTAAATACAACCCAAGGAAACAGCCCCAGCACCTCGGCTCCAGCTGCAAACACCTGCAGCCCTGCCGCAGCAACTGTAGATTCAACCCCCACCCCAACCAACCAAATACACCCACCCCAAAGCATCACCGAACCCAAGCCCTGAGCATGCCGGCAGCGCGCCGCAGGCCGGGTTTCAGGCTGCACCCTGCAACTGCCCCCGTTCCGCTTCGCAGCGTGCGGCCAACGGCCGCTCCTGGAAGGCAGCTCGGGAGCCCGGATCGTAGCTGGGCACGACGCAGCGGTGGGAGCTGGCCGTGGCTCGTGAGCCCTCCAGCTTCACCGCGGTGGCGGCCGATACGCGCACGTTTGTGGAGGAGTCTTGGTCCATGGGAATTCGGTGCTTACCGCCGGCCACTGCCTTACGGGGAGGAGGTAGGAGGGCTGCGGGCACCGCTTCTGGCTGACTGGGAGGAGGGCACCACGGGAGAGCAGCAAAGCATCAGCTGGACAGAAGGCAAAGCAAAGGGGTTCTGAGTTCTCATAGCGCAGAGGCAGTGCGCGAAGGCCAGGCTGAAGGGGGGCTGTGGGGATGCTGGGGAGGGACTCTTCATTAGGGACTGCAGTGACAGGACAAGGGGTAACGGGTTCAAACTGAAACAGGGGAAGTTTAGAGTGGATCAAAGGAGGAAATTCTTTCCTGTGAGGGTGGTGAGGCACTGGAATGGGTTGCCCAGGGAGGTTGGGAATGCTCCATCCCTGGTGGTGTTCAAGGCCAGGGTTGGATGAGGCCTTGGGTGACCTGGTTTAGTGTGAGGTGTCCCCTGCCCACGGCAGGGGGGTTGAGAACTGGATGATCTTAAGGTCCTTTCCAACCCATCCCATTCCATGAGTCTATGAGTCAAGACCAGGAAGCCTTGGATACTCACACCTGGCTGGGTCCGGGCCAACCTCTGGTGCTTCCAATGAAGGGCTCTTTGCTTTAGATGTGATGGTTTTGGTAGCCTGGGGGCTGGTTTTGTCACGGAGCTCTCATTTTTCTGCTTGGTAGATTCTGATAAGCTAGCAAAACAAACAGAAAATGATTAAGTAGCCATTTAATTAGTTAATTATTTAATTAGTCAACAATTTAATTAGTTAATTATTAAATGAGTTAATCGATTAGTTAATCATTTAATTAAATAGTTAACTATTTAACAAAACAGTCAATAACTTAATTACGATGATTAAAATTTACGTGGAAATTTAAAGGAAAGGACTCAGTATTTAGATGGGAAACTCCACAATTCCTTGGGTTTCACGCTATTTCCCCACTTCCTGCCTTACCATCCTTTGGGCACCCTCAGAAGAGGCCTTGCAGCTGTACCCGGAGCAGCTTTGCTGCACGTCAGCCCTCACCCCGGTGTCGTTGCTGTGGCCCTTAGCACAGTTGCACAACCCACACGCGCTCAGGCAGGTCCATCCCGTTGGCTTACCCGTGACCGAAGGAAGCCGAACGCTAACGCGATGCCTGGACTTCGGAAGCGGCGGCGTTCCGCAGGGCTGGGCTGGATCAGCTCCTTGGTTCTCCCATTAAGGCCCTTCCACAGGCGTTCATCCGGAGGGGGGCTCCAGCCCCATTAGCTCTCTGGCACCCGGGAGCGTGCTGGAGGCGAAGCTGAGCTTTGGAGCCCGCACTCTGCTCGTCCCAGGTTCAGTTCCCACTGGATAGCAGCAGGGATTCTGGCCAACGTACCTGCATAGGAACCAGGTGTGAATGACTCTGGCCCTATGCCTAAGATTAATATGAATATTCATACATTCATACGAATAATATCTGAATATAAGCATATATTTAATACATTAATCTATTTATTCTATATTAAATATTCATATGTTCACATATATTTATGTTTAGATATATATTTATGTTCACATGTCCATATATATTTGTGTTCATATACATATTTAATGCAAATATTATTTCTAACTTCTAGTGAACGACTTTCATTCACTAGAATGAAACTATTAGTTCTATTTCTATTCATTCCCATTCTATTCATATGAATAATATATTAGTATATTTAATATATTAATATATTTATACTAAATATTCATTTGTTCATATCTATGTTCACATATATATTTAATACAGATATTAATTATTTGTAACTTCTAGTGAATGAGTTGAACTATTCAATTTCTATTCATTCATTCTATTCATATGAATATATTGATATGTTTAATCTATACTGACTATTCATATGTTCATATATATTTATGTTTATATAGATTTATGCTCATATGTTCATATATACATTTATGTTCATATATCTATATCTAATATAAATATTCATTATTTGTAACTCCTAGTGAACGGGTTCCCCCGAGCTAGGTACAAGCACGCTCTTTGTAAGCATCGTGGCTTTAAACCAACTTCCTTTCTGCCACATAAACCCGTGCTTCTTTTACCTTTTCCAAAGGAAAACCTCTGCTGAGATGGGGTGGGAAGCAACATCCGAGCATCTGCTTAAACCCCGGAGCTGAATTTGCCTTTAGAGCCATAACCAGCAATAGGAAACTGAGTGCTCGAGCCACACCGAAGGGGGCTCAGCCGAATTCCTTCCAGGTCATGGTTCCTGCAGGGTTTCCAGTGTGTATTCCTCCAGGTGCATGAGCCAACAGCAAGTTAATCAGTTAAATGACACCAAAGAAAGGGTTTACTGGACCTTAATTGCCCAACCCACATTGACTCCCCATTAGGGACCCATACACCTGGCGGGCTGTTTTGGGGGTGCACAACCTTGGGCAGCCCGGTGCCCACACCACCCGGAGATACCTCAGGAGCATCGTGGTGCACCCGGGCTTCAGGAGAGACACGTTTGAGAACGACGTGGCCGTGCTGGAGCTCGGCTCCGCGGTGCGCTACGGCAGCGCCGTCCAGCCCATCTGCCTGCCGCCGGCGCACCTGGACCCACTCGCCCACAGCGGAACCCAATGCTTCATCAGCGGCTGGGGACGCAAGAAAGAGCAAGGTAAGGACGGGCTTTGTGGTGCTGAGCGGGTGCTGAGCTCACAGCAGGGGCCGGGCACTCAAGCTTGACCTCAAGCTTGCTGAGGTTCTGGGCTTATCGCACATCACCAAGCGCTGGTTTCCGTTTTGAGCAGAGCAGATCCACCAAAGGCACACGTTCCTTCGCTCTTCTTCCAGGTGGAACATAGAGTCATGGAATGGGTTGGCTTGGAAAGGACCTGAAGGTCACCCAGTTCCAAACCCCTGCCATGGGCAGGGACACCTCACACTAAACCAGGTCACCCAAGGCTCTGTCCAACCTGGCCTTGAACACTGCCAGGGATGGAGCATTCCCAACCTCCCTGGGCAACCCATTCCAGTGCCTCAGCACCCTCACAGCAAAGAATTTCCTCCTTAGATCCAATCTAAACTTCCCCTGTTTCAGTTTGAACCCGTTACCCCTTGTCCTGTCACTGCAGTCCCTAATGAAGAGTCCCTCCCCAGCATCCCTATAGCCCCCCTTCAGATACTGGAAGCTGCTCTGAGGTCTCCACACAGCTTCTCTTCTCCAGGCTGAACAGCCCCAACTTCCTCAGCCTGTCTTCATACAGGAGGTGCTCCAGTCCCTGCTCACCCTCGTGGCCTCCTCTGGGCTTGTTCCAACAGTTCCATGTCCTTTTTATGTTGAGGACACCAGAACTGCACCCAATGCTGCAGGTGAGGTCTCACGAGAGCAGAGCAGAGGGGCAGGATCACCTCCTTGAACTGCTGAAACACCTGACCACAGGAAAGGGAACTCGCCTGACTTTAGGTTCACATTCCCAGGTTCTCAGTGCTGTCTGCAGAAAGCTTTCTTATTAGAATCATAGACTCAGGGAATGGGTTGGGTTGGAAAGGACCTGAAGCTCACCCAGTTCCAACCCCCTGCCATGGGCAGGGACACCTCACGCTAAACCAGGCCGCCCAAGGCTTCGCCCATGGTTTAGTGTTACTGCAAACCAACAACCCTGAAGCCTCTGAGCAAGACGAGTCAGCACAAACACTGCATCACCTCTGAAGCCCGCACATCTTTAACCCACTGAAGTTTGTTAGAAGCAGGCACAATCTCTGTGTCACCCACTAAGTACACGCAGGAATGAGCTAAAGCCTGAATGGGGCAGGGGAAGCACAGCAGGAATTGCTATAGCACGAGTATTTCACCTTTTCATATGCTGTCTTGCACTGAAGGTAAAACTTCAGCGGTGTTACAAGAAGCAGAAGTGGAAGTCATTCCTTCCAATGTCTGTAACAGTTCTGATGCCTACGGAGGGCTGGTTAACGACAACATGATCTGCGCTGGCTCTCTATGGGGAGGCCCCGATACCTGCCAGGTAAGAAGGAACATTACACCCGAGCTGCCCCTATGGAAGCCAGAGCGTCAGGGGCATGGTGATGACCAGCATTTGTAGCATCATTCACTAAAATGGCACAAATACGAAGCAGAAAACACGTCAGAAGTGCAAAAGGAGCAGCAGGAATAAAAGCATGAGACGGTGACGCACATCTCAAACCCATGATAACACAGTAAAAAGATAAAGAACACAAGCAGATTTATACGTGTTCAGGGAGAAAAGCCTTAGAAGGAAAAGGTGCAGCAAGAAAACCAACCACCTTTTAGTTAAGGACACCGAAACTAATGCAGGTGTGGTGTTCTGGTCACGGTGGTCTCACCCAGCACCACCAGATCTGGTCTGCATTGTGCTACCCACGTATTAGCATCGTTATTACTCTCCAGTTAACTTAGCTGATGTATTACTGGCCTAAGTCTGCATCCTTTCCTGGAAGGGAGTATCTTCACCAGTGGGGTTTCTGCTTATCTATAGGGAGACAGCGGAGGACCCTTGGCGTGCTATCACCCCCCCACCAACAGATACTACCTCGTGGGGATCGCCAGCTTTGGGGTCGGCTGTGGCCGACCACGATTCCCTGGGATCTACGTCCGTGTGTCCCAATACAGAAGATGGATACAAGCAGAACTGGAGCTGAATAACAAGGCTGCGAGCCCCAGGAGCGCTCCGCTCCCCGTCCTTCTGAGCCTGACGCCCACAGTACTTGCGTGGAGCCTCTGAAGGGACAAACCACCGGGGCATGGCTGCAGAGGTTCGGTCTGCCTGGTAAACCTTGGGGAGGAGAGCCTGCTTCAGAATAAACCCGAGAGCCAAGGGACACACACTGAGCTTTCCAAGCCGTGTTTGCGCTCGCATCCGTGCTTTCCTTTCTGCTTTTGATGTCCATTATCACCAGTAGAGGGATCGGTAACAGCCTTAACCCTGGTAATGAAACTGAACATAGAGATGTTAACCAACCGAGAATACTTCTTTCTTACCTCTTTTCTATGCTTTTCCAGCCATCAAAACTTAAGCGTTAGCAATGACTACCACGCGCTTTGCAGAAGGCAGCTGCCCCCTCTGCTGGGTGAACGCTGGCAGAGCAGAACCGTGCCTCCCAGGGCTCAGCTGAAAAGCGGAGAGGGGAAAAAGAACCTGCAGGAAGAGAAAAGGTTTCTCCCCTCCTGATTTTCAGCGCTCGCTACCGGTTAGGCACAAGTGACTTCGTTCTCCGAGCGCTGAGGGCCGCAGCTCTTGGGTGCTGGTGCCGCTTGGCCACTGAGGGACCCGACGGCACCCAACGCACGCGCGCTTGCTCAGGGCTACGCTCATGAAGAATCAATCGGGACCATCAGGGATCAGGTTTTGGCGACTTTATTTACCAAGGTCAAAATCTGCAACCATCTAAGTGCTTCAACAAATATGTACAATTCAGAGAAAGCATGTAATGGACTTCTGCTTGGAAATAACCAGCACGGTACTAGGTACTACAGCTCTTCCTCTCAGGATACAGATTTTACTCTCTTAACAATCTAGACTGTAAAGTAAATCCAAAGTAAGTGCCTCAAAGAGCAAACTCATGTTACTGTTTAATACTTCCATGATGAAAAATAAGCTGCTCTTTCCAAAAACCACTTATTTTAAGAGGATAAAAAGGTACTAACGTGATGTCTGGCAGCACGACTCGCTGAACACAGAAAGAATGGGCCACCATTCTGTGACAGTCTTAACACTTGATAGCTTTAATTATTCTTGTTATCCTGTATTACAAAAGAAGGTCAAGGAACAACAGCACACGGTGAGGATCACAAACCATACACAGGAGTTCCCAAATTGGCTGCAGTACTGTAGGTCAAACCCTCTTCACCATACACACAGACCTGATGGGGGACGGAGCGAGAGGGTCCGGTTCCCAGAGGCGCCAACCACGTCCCACGGCTTCCTTCTTCCTGAAATCCCACTAACAGAACCAGGAGGCACGGAACACCTTCTTCTGGAGCAGTTCCCTACAAACACCTTCGCCCTGTTCACTCTTTTCTGATGTGCAATGAAAGCACCCCCCTTTTTCTGACATGACCACGAACAGAAACGGGTTCTCCAGTTTGGCCTAAAGGAAACGTCCGTAACAATCCCCCAAACTGCAGAGAGAAAGGTGGCTTTACAGCTCACTAACACCATGATTGTGGAATGCTGTCTTCCTCATCCCGCTTGCAAAGAGCTCTGCTTGCCCAGAAGTCCACGAATTCCAAGATGAGGCAAATAAAACATACTGACTGACCGTATGAGAAGCAGTACACAGCCGGGGAGCGAGCAGACCTCTGGACTGCCTTCAGCTCGGAGCTAGCACAACACACGCACACGGAGCTCTAACACCTTTTGAATAGCATAGTCCATAGTGCAATTCCCGCTGACATAACTGGAAGCAGGATTCGATCCTAACTATGGAAAACAGTGTAGTTATTATTCATGCAATAAGCACTGCATACACATCTCGCAGGATCACAGGAGAGGGGAGGTGGGACGGCACCTCGGGAGCTCGCTGCCTCCCACCCCCTGCTCGAGCCGGCGGCCCAGGGCCTCGGCCAGGCAGCTTTTGGGTATCCCCACGAATGGAGATTCCACCCCCAAAAGAGTCCTGATCATGTCAAGCACTTCACTGCCACCTGGAACCGACGAAAATCCAACTGGAATCTCTTGGCAGTGACCACATCGAACGTGCAGATATCAGCAAGTGTGGGGAATCAAAAGCCCTGATCTCTTGGGTTGTTGTTTGTTTTTTTTCCTCCTCTTTTTGTTTTCCCAATATTCCCTAGGATCCCTTTTTTTAGTTTTTCTTTTTTTGCAAGTTGCCTACAGACATACAAAATTAATTCAAATATCTCCTACACCAAAGAGGATCTCCTTTGACTTTGTACTATCCATAAAAATATATGCTCGAAAATCTGCTTCTTCACAAAATATTTCATTTGCTTACTAAAATGAAATATAGAAACTGTCAAAATACGTATATAAACTCAATTTCAGCATCTGGAAAGATCACAATTTAGCTACAAAATATACCACCCATCTACCTGTTTGCAATAAAGTATTTGCTTACAAAGATACCATTGCTTTGCAAAATATCACCTACCTTACAAAATCAGCCCGGCAATGTTGCACTGCTTTCAGCATAGAAACCCTATATTAGAACCTCAGTAACCCTTTGGTATACATCTTCCACTTGTGTGTTTTAGCATTTGGTTTCAACGTCCCAAAGCACAGAAGAGCCTCCAGGCAGAAGCAGCAACGAGTGTTTCATTGTGTTTATAGGCAGCACGTGGTTGTTTCTCAATTCTAGGTGTTTCCCATGCCCAGCAACTAAGAGCAACCTATTGTGAAATCATTCTTCAGCTCTTCTTCACCAGTACTTGCTCTTCCACGCTGCACTAGGGAATAACTGGATGCGTTGAGTCCTCTTAGGGCAAGCCAACACCTTTCACATGCCTCGGACATGGTCAGGACTCGGCCTCTGGCTGCTTGCTGCAGCTCCTTCCCAAATGCGATCAACACAGCAAAGGTTGAAAAGAAAACCCCAACTTTTGTAACTCAGCTGAGAAAGAGGAAACGTGATTGATACCTCGAGCGAAGCAGGAGCTCCTGGTTAGCGTCTGCGCCCGTAACGAACAACCGCCAGCTTCAACCAAACCTATTTACATACAAAGAACTGAAAGCAAAAGAACTGGGAAAGAATAAAAGAGTAAGAAATCAAAACATAAACTGGTTATAAATGTTCCTACTAATGTCCACTATGGCAAGGATTCCACGTCATCCACTGTAACCAACTACTGCCTCCGTTACAAGAGGTACGGGAAGGAACTCTACCCGCCTGCCCTGTAAAACGGGACCGTCCTTTACTGTCGGTGCAATCGTGACTTCAGAACGTTTCCAGTTGTGCCAGCAGGGATTTTGGGTGAGGTTTTCCTGTTTCCTTTCTTGTACTTTGTCACCAAATAAAATCTCCAGAGTCTTGAAGCTGTGAAATCTAGGTAGAAAAGTTTCAATTTTTGACCTTTCGTCTAGAGGTTAAAAAATCCCGTATAAAAAAAAAAGAATTTCTCCTCTGAAATGTAAAGAGTCCAAAGTTTCACCTCCTTTTCTTACACGCTTTTATGACAGTAAAGATCTTTCAAAGTTTTTAACTCTTCAATGAGAGTTTTGTTCTGGTTTTCCAGGACCGCAACTCGATTTTCCAGGCATTTCACGTACTCCTTCTTCTTTCTACGGCATTCTCGAGCAGCTTCTCTGGAACACACAAGCAGAAGGGATTGCTGAGTTTAGAGCTGGGATGTTTCTGCTTCCTGCATGTGGTGATGCTGATCACTATGAGAGGAGGGAGCTGGCAGTGTCATTGTGAACAGCATGGGCTGGAAAGCGCATGATGTGTCCTGGGCTGCATCAAAAGGAGCGTGACCAGCAGGCCCAAGGAGGTGATCCTGCCCCTCTGCTCTGCTCTTGTGAGACCTCACCTGGAGCATTGGGTGCAGTTCTGGTGTCCTCAACATAAAAAGGACATGGAACTGTTGGAACAAGTCCAGAGGAGGCCTCGAGGATGAGCAGGGGCTGGAGCACCTCCTGTATGAAGACAGGCTGAGGAAGTTGGGGCTGTTCAGCCTGGAGAAGAGAAGCTGCGTGGAGACCTCAGAGCAGCTTCCAGTATCTGAAGGGGGCTGTAGGGATGCTGGGGAGGGACTCTTCATTAGGGACTGCAGTGACAGGACAAGGGGTAACGGGTTCAAACTGAAACAGGGGAAGTTTAGATTGGATCTAAGGAGGAAATTCTTTGCTGTGAGGGTGCTGAGGCACTGGAATGGGTTGCCCAGGGAGGTTGGGAATGCTCCATCCCTGGCGGTGTTCAAGGCCAGGTTGGACAGAGCCTTGGGTGACCTGGTTTAGTGTGAGGTGTCCCTGCCCATGGCGGGGGGTTGGAACTGGATGAGCTTCAGGTCCTTTCCAACCCTAACTATTCTATGATTCTATTCTATAGGCAGACAGCATGAAATTGGTACCACGTGTGGCAGCCAATCTGCAGGGAAAACCCAATTCGTTTTCTCCAAGCTGTGCAGGACAGAACACGGGGCACGTTTTGGCCTGAATTCCCTACTTTTCAGTGGACAATTCACCCTTCAGTGAGGGGACAATCAGTAATATTAGTTTGCAGGATGCAGTTTGCCCTTTGAGGATGCCTTTCAGCACATGAAATACCAACCCCCCAGCAGCCCACGTGCAGTCCCCTACCTGTTCTTCATCAGCCGTATCTCTCGTTTCAACTGTGGGTCATCCGTCTTACTCGTCTGCGACGTCAGGGTGACAGGAGATGTCATCACCACGGTCTGGGGCAGGGAGGTGGTGGTCGGGGTGGTGCGGATCTGGTAGGTCTGCATGTCCCCTGAGGCAGCTGTTGGGAGAAGAGCACAGGACATCAGCACGTGGCCGGGTCGGACTCGCGTTAAGGCTAACGTCACACCGCTTCCAGAGGCTGTACTCACTCTGCACCACCACCTGGTTGCTGGGGACAAGGATCTGTTGCCCATCCGATGTCTGGGCATACTGCAGGATCGTCGTGCCAGGCTGAGCACCACCAGCGTTGGCCATCGTCAGTGTCTGCAGACCCTGCACGCCGTCAGCGCCCGGGCTGGCCAGCTGCAAGCCATTGGCAGCAATGGCAACTTGAAAGGAAAAGGAACTCGCTCAACAACCTTTGTACAGAGTGAAATACAAAGGCAGGGCAGCCTGGAGAAGAGAAGGCTCCTCAAGGGGAGACCTTAGAGCAGCTCCAGAGCCTAAAGGGGCTGCAGGAAACCCAGAGAGGGGCTTTGGACAAGGGCCTGTAGGGACAGGCCAAGGGGAATGGCTTTAACCTGCCAGAGGGGAGACTGAGATGAGCTCTTAGGCAGAAGCTCTTCCCTGGGAGGGTGCTGAGGCGCTGGCACAGGGTGCCCAGAGAAGCTGTGGCTGCCCCATCCCTTGCAGTGCTCAAGGCCAGGTTGGACACAGGGGCTTGGAGCAAGCTGCTCTAGTGGAAGGGGTCCCTGCCCGTGGCAGGGGTTGCAGCTGGAGGAGCATCCAGCTCAGAGAACAGGGATGGAGAGGACGTGCTCCAGTTGTGCTTTGGGGTAAAATCAAAGGAACAAACTGCTACCTTACTGATAGCACAGGAACAGCCTTTGGTGTGGCCTTGTGATATATATAATGGTATCTTCACTTATCTTAGGTTTTGGACTAGCTCTAACACTAGAACACTGCCATGCATTTCATAACAACATCCTCTGAATGTCTTAAATGAGCAAAAAAGAAAAGATAAAAGCCCTGAGTTTATCTGGAGCCTTGAGATACCAGTCTGCTTCCATCCACAGGACTGTTACTAACTGTTAAACAAATAACCAAACCTTTTGAGTTTCATCTTGCTCAGATATATACCACAAAGAGAATCTGTATTTTGAAGCAAGCTGAATAAAATGTGTCCAGTTAGGCACATGTTTCGTGGTAACTTACTGTACTGCCCAGTGCTTGTCTGGTAGATGGGTGTGGGAACGGACATAGATGTAACAGTAGAGACACCAGGACTCTCCTCATCTCCTTTTCTGTCACGTGTATCTTCAGAAGAAAGATCCTTCAGGATTTTCCTATGAAAGAGAAGTTTCTCAGTTCTAAACCTAGGGAAAAAAATCACTGCACGGTGACAAACCTGCCCCGTTTACAGCACATTTCAGTCACCCCCAGCAAGCTGGGTGCTGAACACCAGCACTGCAGCTGCATCATGGCACTGGAGGGAAAGCTGCATCAGAGTTTCCACCATAAACCTCTTCCAGGGATATGTCAGTGGGCTGTTGAGAGCTATCTTCTGATTTACAACTTGGTCTTTATGTCTCTCAAGAATAGGCTTTCGTTATCCAGTTACACCCAGTTTGCTCTGCCTGGTGTCAGAATAAGCTAAAAAGGGTAGATTACTATAGAAAAGTTTAACCACCTGCTCTGTCAGTACACAGGAACTTTACTTTTCCCTGCATTTAATGCAGCTCTTGCACAGCCCCTCACACAGCCTGTGTCCTGTGTAACAAGACCCTATGAAAACAGACACATCTCTCTTTATAAGAGCCACCAAGGGAAGTGTGAATTTTATATGTTTTACCCCAGGCCAAATCATGATTTAGTGGCAGTTCCACGAAGAGAAAAGCAGAACTGAGAACTCCTGATCCCAAACCTGCAGGGTAACCAGCTCTCCTTCAGAAGCTCTGCTTACACCTCCTGGTTTCCTATCCTGAGGAGTCAGAATTGCTCTTTTCCCCCACTGTTTTTGACTGCAGGCAAAACAGTCAAATCCCTCTGAAATCGTTTGTCTCGATGCATAGCTCAAAAGGAGACCAAACCATCAGAAAGCACTAAGAAGAGCAAACAGTCAAGAACTAGATTGGATCTAAGGAGGAAATTCTTTGCTGTGAGGGTGCTGAGGCACTGGAATGGGTTGCTCAGGGAGGTTGGGAATGCTCCATCCCTGGCAGTGCTCAAGACCAGGTTGGATGAGGCCTTGGATGATGTGGTTTATGTGAGGTGTCCCTGCCCATGGCAGGGGGGTTGGAACTGGGTGATCTTAAGGTCCTTTCCAACCCTAACTATTCTATGATTCTATAACTGAAAAGCAGTGGCAGAAGCAGGACTGGGGAGCATCCCCCAAATGTCTACTGCATGCAACAGGCCCAGTGCCTGTTTCAAGAGAAAGAAAACAGAATATAGGAAGCTATTGAAAGAAGTTGCTCTTTTGGTCTCAAAGGTACAAAAGCTACTCCCTGCTGGACTTACCGGTAGGAAGGACGGCGAGCTAAGATGCCTCGAGCTTTCTGTGAGGAGCCTATGCTATCTGATGAATCCTGAGAATCTTCACTCTCAGACAAAGAAGAGACCTAAAAGAGACAAGCAATGGGGTTATCTGGCACACTGCAACCGAAACCCCCGCATGAGGTTACACACTGTACTCGTGTACCAGCTAAAGCTGCTTGAACACTACACAAGTGCAGCTGATTACAAAGAGAGAAACCCCAAAAAAAGGGGATTTCTAGTTTCAGTGTTTTCAGCTATTTGTAGCAATTATCAGAGATTGTCAGCGAGGTCCTAATGACACAAATCCCTTCTCCTCCCCCCCAAAAAAGAAAGCTCCCAAACTCTTTTATCCCATTAAAAGCTGGTAAACGCCCACTATTTGAAGGCAGCTGTTTTAGCTGGATCAAACTGTGGGATTAATCAAGCCAGGGTGAAGAAACAGGAATGGTTTCTTTCCATACACATCACACAAGCCAAACTATCTTATCAGCTGATGAATAGGTGAGCCGCTCCCACACATCAATTGGTCTGAGGCGCTGGTGGGAAAGGAAAGAACAGCATTTCTGTATGGAGACAAACATATAAGGCACCTGAAACCTTTGTGCAGACAGAAGAGCAGTGCATTTTGCTGCTGGGAATGGAAGAGTCAACTGAAAAGACCATTTAAGGCAGCGGGGAGTAAGAGTGCAAAGTGTTATCTATGGTTTTCTCCTTATTCCACTGTGTCCCCAGCCAGCTGGCAAGAGCTCTCTTATCTCTGATGCTCCTTATTAAATACAAGCCAACAGAACATTCACTTGTACTTATGTGTGTGTCAGCAACAACAAGGCAGGAAGAATGCAAACAGCTCTGGGAAAAGCAACCCTCAGCTGCTGTTACAGAGGCAGGAGCGAGCTCCCATCAGAAAGCTCCTCCTGTGCTATTTTTCCTCCCCACCTTTGGGCAACAAGGTCAAAGTGTTCATAAATGACAGGGAAAGAAAGGAAAGAGCTCAGTCAGTGGGGACCCTGCCGCTAGAACACCATGATAGGAGAGGGGTGACTGGAGACTCAAGGAACCACAACCTACTGCAGCAGCCACTTGGCTGCTCTCAGCAAAGTGGAAGGTGTTTTCCATGCTCTGATGTTATGGGAACAATGAGGGCTGAAAACGCATTACAGGTTTCCTTTCCAAGGTTTATCACTTTAATGTTGTACGAAGAGATAAGCACAGTACAAAAGGATCAGGGACGAATCAATGCCTTTTAGCCCAGTTCTTGCAGGCATTTGGCTGAGCAGTGCAGTTGCTGCACAGTTTAACTCCAGTGCTGGGCTGTCCTGAGGGCTCTCTGCAGCCAAGAACCGACTGAAGCAGTAACAGGCTCGCCTGTGAACTCCCTGAGGCACACGAGCACGAGAAACAAGCAGAATCCTCAGTACCACAGAAAGGGAGTTCAAGTGTACAGGAGGGGAGCAAGGACCAGCTCATGCACCCCCATTCAGGTCCCCCTTTTCCTAACACACGGTTTAATTCACTTGGTCATTCCACACTCTCCTCGTCTGGGTATTACAACACACTGGTTGCAATGTCTGTTAAGAGCACTACGTAGAGCACTGTGGGTTTGTTTGGGGGGGGGATTACGAAGGGAGGCAATGTCAAATAGTTTCATTTCCACTCCAAAGGCAATTTTAGCATCACAAGTCATTTCAGGCCTCAAGAAACCATTAAGAACAACATATCCCCTAAATTCTGTCACTTGCCTACTCACTGTCTCTTACAGCAGAGCCAGCCAGGCTGCGCCGTGGCAGAGCTAGCCAAGGCAGGCAAGCCTTTACAAGTCCTCTCACCTACAGAAAACAGGATCCTTGGTTATTTAACAGACATTCTGTACCTACCTGCACGGTTTGCACCTGAGGTGAGTGGATTACAGAAGAGGACTGAGCTGTCTGAATGACTCCCTGGACCTGGACTTGCTCTCCAGGAAGCTGAACGACTGTCAGGGGTGCAGGACCTCTTAGAGACATCTACAACAAAGCAAAGAATCATTACCACAAGCGTTTGTGCCACAGGATCCACAAAGTGCATCTACATGTAGGAAAACGAGGGGAGAACATGCATTAGCAGAAGCTTCTTTCAAGTCTAATTAAGTCATAAAGATATCCTTTAAAGATGCACATTTCTGAGATAGGTATCTGCATCCAAAAAAGCCTGTTTCATCAGTTACACGTTTGCCTTAGGGGGGAAATCAAATACACAGCATTATGTGCAGATGATTCAAATGCTGCAGCTTTTAATATGTGCAGCTGTAAATGAACCACAACTTAGACAAGCAGGAACAGAAGTGCCTAATAAGTAGCCTCCATTCTCACGAAAGTTAATGGGAATTCAGGGCACTAAAACCTAAATGGAGGTGAAAGGACCCACAAGACTGAGGGCTTAGGACAGGTCAGACTTACAGCACTCCAGTGATGCAGAAGGCAGCCTGAATAATGCACAGATTTGGTGGTCTTGGAGTTACTGTTTTTAAAGCAAGCAGTACGAGGCCATGGTTCAAAGATTTCACACCGAAGAAATCACAAGAGTGAAGCATAGCAAAAGCTGACCCAGCTACTTAGAAAGTTCAAGGCACAAGGGCTGTAACTAGAGGGAGATAAAAGGCAACTGGAGGAGATAAGGTGTGCAGGCTCTGGACAAGGAAGAACAAAGAGCAGGGTTTTGCAAATCACACCAACAGCATCTGCTCTTTCATGGTTTAAAACTATCCATTTCAATGCGTGCTGTGGCTGGGATCTAGGTTTAACTGGCAAGAAAAGCTGAACGTTACTGCTAGCCCTATAGAAAATGCTTCTTCCATTCCAGATTTGCATTTCTGATGTTGAACTTTGCAGTTAAAAACTGATTCAAGCTCATACACGCAGAAGCATGAATGAACAACCCTTTCCCTCACCAACTGTCTTCACTACTTTTATTAATCTGAAATAGAGGACAAGATGAAGGGACCATTACAACTCACACTGCTAACTGTCCATTTAATATTACTTTCTGTACCATACATTAAGTTACACATTGGCACCTTTATACAAAAGCAGAGCAGAAAACCAGCCTTGGAGCAAACAGCAGGACGTTTGCTGGTCTTCTACCCTGTCTTTGCCTCAGGAAGTACCTAAATCCTGCATCAAAATCCAAGCTGCCTCCGCAGGGTGACCAGGGGATGAGCTGAAAAGTGTTCTTCAGGGCTGGGAGCAGAGCGCCTGGACAGAGATGCTCTTTCCAATGCAGAAAGTGGAATCAGGAGGAATTCAGGCTAAAGCTTTGAAAGGGAAGTTACTTTTATGTCACATTTCCGACTTCGTAAGATTTATTGCATGAAATGTATTCACGTTGGGCTAAAATCCAAGTGTTTCCATGGTGCTGAGCACCCAGGATTGCCATTACTACAAAAGGAGCTATAAATACTTCTTCAGAAAGAAATGAAAATCAGCTCCTCGATTCATCACTGAGCAGCCCCCTTATGTTGGGTCAACAAGGCTTTCAAAGGAGGCACAGCTCACTTTGTACAAGCACGCTTCATTCTGGCCTTTTGGGTACAAGCCATTTGGGGTCATCCATCACCAACCAGATCCATTCCTCTCAACTTTCTTTTGTTCTTTCTTCTCTGTGCGTTTCTAGGAGTCAAGAATCCCTACAGTTTGTAGTACCTAAAAAACCAGCTCTTAGCTACCTCAAATGTGTGCTGAGATTTGGCCCAGGCTTTACCTGTTGAGCAATATGAGAGAGCTGAGCTGCCTGTAGTGTTGTACCTTGTACAGCTGACGTTTGTGAAGGCGACACTGAACTGGTACTGCTGCTCTTGTGCACCTCTTCCATAATCAACTGCAAGAAAAGCAAGGGGTTCCATTCAGTTCATGAGAAACGTGACCACCAGATGGGTGCCCAGCTTCCAGGGTTACTTTACAGGCTCTCTGTGCATAAAGCTTTGAGTCAGACATTTCATGCTCTCCCAGGAGCACGAGGGGAAGGCCACGGTGGGTCCTTTCCATGGACTCGCCCTGAGGCCTCAGAGCAGCACAAATCCCTGCTTGGAACAGGGAACTGTGTTCCCCTGACCACCACCTGCATCCAAGCCTCTGTCAGCACCGGGGCAGCCATCTGCTGTCACATGTATTGACTGAATTTCCTGTTTTCTTCCTAAAAATAAAGTCAAGTCATGAGGTTTAGGAAGACAACCGAGATAAAGCATTGCTACTAAAGACTGCCTTGCTGTAAGGAAAAGAGTTCCCCAAAATATGTTACCCAAGCTACCAGCCAAACCTATCTGAAACCATCTGAAGGGGTGCAAAGCCAGACCAGGGATTCCAATCAAAGCAGAGAGCACACAGGTTTGAGTTTTAAACCCTGCAGCAGTCACTGGGTCTCCATGCAATCCAATCACATTGCTGTCATTCCAATGACTTCCTATTTACCTGTTCAACATCTTGGCATCACCCCCCCTCTGACAGTGGGGGATACAGGGATGTTAAACGCATGCTTTGGGCTGGCGGAGGTGGGGGGGGACCAGCCTGGAGCATTACGAGATGCTGGGTGAGCGTTCAACGTTTTGTCACAGGAGGTTTGAAGCTGTTGAAGGGACAGTTGCTATGAGACTGGAAATTACAGCTCCTTCTGTGGAAACGTGAGTCATTGCTTTTTCCCTACCGAGATCAACCACAGCTCTCGCCGCCTGACGTCGGCTCGGGGAGGGGGGGAAAGTCAACGGACACCAAGACCAGAACCTTGCTCTTGCAATCCTCACTCCCCTCCCACTCGAGGAAGTTACTAATCCAGAACTCTGTGGAGGCAAACCTCATGGCTGGGTGACACATGAAGCCATAGCATGGAACAAACGTCCTCCAGCACATGATCCAGCTTCCCAACGTACTTATGTCCATGCACGTAAACCAGTTTGCCCACAGTAAAAATGAGGGCTTCGCCCTGCAATAAGAGCTCACAGGAGCCAGGCAGTGCTTCAGCTGTTCCCAGCTTCTGGAATCCCTCAGCTTAATCAAAACGATCTCAGCTTATCACGTTGCTGCTGGTGCTAATGCAAGGGTCAGGAGCGTGAATCAGAGCCTGACACCCAGCTCCAGGGGGAGTGGAGCGATGGGATTCCAACAGTTGCTTTCTCCAGCTGCTGCAGAGCCCACCTGAACATCAGGAAATCTGACTGGGGCTTTTTATTTGCTCATTCCTTTGTTAAGGAATGGGAGCTGGGATCTAAAGTAATTCCCCACAATCCCAGGCTAGTTTGGGTTGAAGGGAGCTTAAAGCTCCTCCAGCTCCAACCCCTGCCACAGGCAGGGACCCCTTCCACTGGAGCAGGGTGCTCCAAGCCCCTGTGTCCAACCTGGCCTTGAACACTGCCAGGGATGGGGCAGCCACAGCTTCTCTGGGCACCCTGTGCCAGCGCCTCAGCACCCTCCCAGGGAAGAGCTTCTGCCTAAGAGCTCATCTCAGTCTCCCCTCGGGCAGGTTCAAGCCATTCCCCTTGTCCCATCCCTACATCCCTTGTCCCAGGCCCCTCTCTGGGTTTCCTGCAGCCCCTTTAGGCACTGGAGCTGCTCTCAGGTCTCCCCTTGAGGAGCCTTCTCTTCTCCAGGCTGCCCCAGCCCAGCTCTCTCTGCCTGTCATTTAAACATACTGAAGCTATAAAGGATAAAGAGCAGAACCAACAACAAGCACAAAGAAGGGACATGATTCCGCATCCCCTCTAAGCTGCTTTAGCTTCTTATGAAGGACAATTACCTTTTGTACCCCTGCAAAGGGAGACCTGGCAAGTGTCACAAGTAAACAGGGCACTGTCAAACTGAAATCCAGTCAACAGCAGAAACGAACACACGTTTCCAGTGCAACAGAAACACCCCGGTCATTTCTGTAGTGCTAAACCACACGCTGCCTTCCCCTCTCTTACTGGTTTGCTCTGCTTTCTCGTCCCAGGAAGGACTGGAAACAGCAGCAAGATCGACTGCAAGAAACAATGAAACCAACAGATATGAAACCACCCAAAGATATGAAACAAAGCAGGGGCAAAGCACAAAGGGTTTTGCTGCTCTTTCTCTCCGAGGCGTGAAGTCCTGCTTACAGGAATCAAAGGTAAAGCATCTCCCATGGTAAACTTGATGCTCAAGTTTCCTTCATCTTTGCTTCCTCTGTAATATCGGGCTAAGCATTAACCCAACACCTACTGATTCAGTGAAAGGGTATTAATAAGGTATTAAGGGTTAGCAAGTGATTGTAACAAGGTGTCAATGACGACTGCATCTCATCCTCCAGCGAGTAAAGGAGGTGCAAGCACGCTCTGGCCCCTGTCCCACAAGAAGACTCAACACGCCTCTACCCTGTTAAAACAACCCCTTTACCTGGAAAACCATGGCTTTCCCATTGGAATGGCTGCCTGTGAACACCCTCCACCAGCCAGGGCCAATGGAGACCTCCAACCTGCAAGTCCTCAGCACCAAAGATGGAAACTGCAGCGGGGCTTCATCATTTTACACAGTTACAAGCACTTTCAACACTAGCACATGTCTAGCTGAAACCAGCTGCATAGTTTTGGGGTGAAAGAAGAGTTTTCCATGTCACAGAGCGCAGGCAAGGGGGGAATTCATAAAAGCAGCACACGATGATTTATTAGCCAGGGAATAACTGTGGTTCCAGCCTGCAGGAAAACCATTTAGTGAGCAGATAGGTATGGACGGTGCTTTTCAGAAGGAAATCAGTGCTCACAAGTAACTCAGCTGAAATGAAAGGGCCTATAGGGATGCTGGGGAGGGACTCTTCATTAGGGACTGCAGTGACAGGACAAGGGGTAACGGGTTCAAACTGAAACAGGGGAAGTTTAGAGTGGATCAAAGGAGGAAATTCTTTGCTGTGAGGGTGCTGAGGCACTGGAATGGGTTGCCCAGGGAGGTTGGGAATGCTCCATCCCTGGCAGTGTTCAAGGCCAGGTTGGATGAAGCCTTGGGTGTCCTGGTTTAGTGGGAGGTGTCCCTGCCCTTGGCAGGGGGCTGGAACTGGATGAGCTTCAGGTCCTTTCCAACCCAAACCATTCCATGCTGATATGAAAGGATTCTGCAAGAGCATCATCGGGAAGCGGGGTCTGAAGGGCTCTGCATCACCTCTCTCCAGCCAAAGAAACACTGGAGCTTCAAACACTTCTTCCCTTTAGGCAGGAACAGGAACCTTGCCTTTCACTGTGGGCAAGCTGAAGCCCACAGGCCCCCTCCTAATGCGATGCTCCTCCGGCTGAACCACCCCTCAAGGACCACAAAGCCAAACCTAAAGGGCTGAGGAAGCTCCATTCAAAGAGAAGAAACCCGAGGCCCCTGCTCTCCTGCCCTGCCCGGGGAGCTCCTGCCACAGGAGGCAAAGAGCAAGCAGGTGGCATCTAAAGGAAGGCAAAGGGAAGCGAGCACCAAAGGAAGGCACCAAGTCCTCTTCTGCCCTTTCAACCTAGCAGAGGAAAGGTCTCAGTGGTGTCTGGGTGCTGAAACACAGCAAGAGGCAACCGAGGTTTGGGGGTTCTTTTTAGGACTTTGTAAAGTCTTAAAGTATTATAAGTATTGTATTTATTAACTTTTATATCATTTCTATATCTTGTAATTTATGTTATTTATATATTATTAAATATTATAGAATATATATTTATAAAGACCTAAAGGATTGTAAATATTATATTTACTATTTTTCACATAATTTCTGTATAATTTGTTATTTATACATTATAAATTATTGAATTTTATCAAATATATATTTGTAAAGTCTTATTATATTTATGTTTTTTTGTTTTATAATTTATATTATTAAAATTATTAAATATAAAATATATATTTATAAAGTCTTAAAGTATTATAAATACTATATTATATTTGATATCATGTCTATGCTTTATAATGTATGTTTTATTATCTATCACGTATTAACTATGATAAAATATAGATATTGATAAAGCCTTAAAGTATTATAAATACTATACTATATTTGATATGTCTATGCTTTATAACATATATGTTTTATTATCTATCACGTATTAACGATGATAAAATATAGATATTGATAAAGCCTTAAAGTATTATAAATACTATACTATATTTGATATGTCTATGCTTTTTAACGTATATGTTTTATTATCTATCACGTATTAACGATGATAAAATATAGATATTGATAAAGCCTTAAAGTATTATAAATACTATACTATATTTGATATGTCTATGCTTTATAACGTATGTTTTATTATCTATCACGTATTATTAACTATTATAAAACACAGATATTGATAAAGCCTTAAAGTATTATAAATGCTATATTATATTTGACCTGTCTATGCTTTATAACGTATATGTTTTATTATCTCCCACATATCATCAACCATTACAAACCACAGATACCGACAGAGCCTTAAACCATCCTCAAGGCCACACAATTCTACCCTTAAACGCCAACAGCCGAACTCCGACCCCCGAGCGCTCGGGGCCACCTGCGCGCTGCCCAGCCCGCTCGCTCGCTCGCTCGCTCCGGTTTGCCGTGCAGGCACCGGGGGAAGGTTCCCCCCGCCTGGGAACCCGTCGGAATTCCCGTTCTCTCCCCCCGGGCTTGGTGCAAGACCGAGGCAGGAGGCACCGCGTCCTCCCCGAGCCCGGTCCCGGTCCCGCTGGCTCCTTCCCATGGGTTCCCTTCCCCGCCCCAGCCCCTCCGGCGAGTGCCCCCTTCCCCGGCAGCCTCAGCCATGAAAGCCCGCGGGGTGCAGCGCACGGACACCACGGATCCCGCTGCCTGTCAAAGCGAGGTAGGGGCGCAGCCTCCATCAACAGCTTCCATCGCCCGGTACCCACCGCTCCCAGGGGCCAGGCCCGCTCTCCCCGCTCAGGGACCCCCGTTATCCCTTACACCCCCCCCCCCCGG